AATGCTATGCAGTATCATAACATTGAAAAATGCAATAATCATTGCTTAAACTTCTTCCAATTAAATCTCTGCAATAATTTTTTTCATTTCGATTAACTGTTTTAAACAATCTATCTGAACAATAACAAATTGTTACCTTTAAGTCTGCTACATTCTTCTAGTGGATTGAGTGGCGACAGCGGTTCTGTAGCATTTAAGAATGTCTTCAAATCACATAAACCGTTAATTAGTTCAGCACATCCGGGTGCATACTGAGTTACATCTTTAGCTTCATCTTCTATCGAATTTGCATACATAATCTGAAGATGCTCCTCTGCTGAACTTTCAGAGCAAAAATGTTGTTGAAAGCATATCAGTGCTATTACTGTGGTTAACACGCATAGTAAATTTACGAAATATCAAAAGTAAAATTTGAAAACAATTTTTTATTTTGTTGTATGTTATGTTTGATGTAGTGCAAAAAAAACATGACAGAAAAAAATAATATATTCTTTTTTAATAAATTTTCTTTACATTTGTTAATCAACTTGCAAAAAACCTTGAGTCTAAAGTCGTTGTCAACTTTCCACATTTCAAACGCTATATGAGCTGCATATTCGACTTTTGGAGTATCGCCAAGTATCTTATACCGGTCCGGAAATGTTCCTATCAGTGCAGCGATAGTAATATCGTGCTAAAAATTTATATTATCCTTAAATTATCAAACGAAAACGTCCTTTTTGTTTTTTATTTTAAGAAGTGTATAAACAAAAATGATTTTTTTTTATCAGAACAGTTCCGTTGACATACAGCTGATAGTCCAAAGAAGTATGGGCCACATTCATTTTCTTTCTTTGTCGAATGACAGTTTAGCTGCTCTTCTAAAGCATTTGTTACTCCACGTAATATACTGCCGCCTAAAATTTTGATTTTCAGATGTTAATGAAGAAAAGTTTCAACATATTCTCATGCATTCTTAATCACTTGAATTTACATAATACAGTTGAACAATTGAGAAGAGACATCTATGCGAACTGCTGTAGTAAAACTATTTGTTGGGACCATTGTTATATATCACACCTCTTAATCTTAGCAGCAGTTCATTTGGCGGTTCTATGCCAAACTTTGCTGCTAAACCAAACCAAGATAACTTTTTCATATCGAACATCAATGATTCGTTTTTAGACCAGGCTGGAACGTCGTAGCCGTTTGCCGCATGAAAAACTAGACAGTCAGACAACTTTTTCAAACGAAAAGAAAATTCTTTCATTTTTCCTTACTTTTAATAAAACTTTGTATTTAATCGTACTCTTTAATATAATCAAAATTTATTGTTACTTTTTTTTCACATAATTCTGAGGAGTACAACTAAACAACAGCGTTATTTTTACTATCCTGAGACTGTTAACTAATGAAGTTGTCGAAGCCTTACATACTACACTTATTTCCGTTTATGGTTGTTTTTGCAGAAAAAAAGGCTGTGATTAAATAGCTTTATTGAAAAATTTTTTGGTCAATACGAAGCAGATTGAGCTTGATTTTGGATTCACAAACAAAAGATAATTTTTTTAAAATTTTTTACAGTAACGCTTATAACTTTATTTTTTTCTCCTTTTTCTTGTATATAATATTCCTCTCTTTTGGAAGTGTGAAAGAAGACAAAAATTTTAAGTCATTTTATGTGTAACCTACCATACAGGTTAATTGATCGTACACTGGGTAGACATATTGCTGTGGAAAATTTACTTTTTCCTCCAACAGTTTATAAACATGCTGGAAGAAAAAGGGTTATTTTTTGCTTAATTTGTTTGTGTGACTTTTTGATTAAATTTAAATTATACTATATTTCATAATCTGTATGAGCAGACAAAAAAAAAAAAACGTGACAAAACAATTGTGGAATTGTTTTACCGCATATTCCTCTAAATGGAGTGAAACGTCGCCAGTTTTTTCGGACAAACTTTCTGCTGCAGCACATTTGAAAAATGGATTACCTTCCTAAAATAAACTAAATTATACTGTAACAAAACTGAAAAATTGATTAAAAATAGACGAGCATGAATTCTTTTTTTTTTTTTTTTTTTTTTTTTT